AATCTGTATAAAATTTGAATTAAATATATATTTTTTGCCCAAGCTTGATTCATGTCACAACGCTGCTATGTGTAAATGCAAATAAAGTAAAACCAAATGTAAATGTCTTTCTGCTCTAAGAGATGCTAGTTTCCCTGATGTTTTGAATCTTCATGGATGTAAGTGTATAAGAGGAAATTTACTCTTAAAAAGAGGTTTTTAACGACTACATTGAAGATGTAGGTGATACTCGATGTAGAAATTCATATACAGTTTAGAGAAGGTTGCAGTTTGAAATACTAAGTTCATTTCATAACTGACATTATGTCTGTATACTTATTAAGGAAGACTGAGTTTTAAGTAAAAGTCATTTCAAACATTTTGAAAAGATAAATTACCTTTAAATATAAAATGGATAATATATTAAAATTTTAGTGTTTAAAAAAAAAGTTTTCGAAATGGAGGATGAAAAACATTGAATGAAATATTTAAAAGATGCGTAACTTTATGGTTAATCATAAAATGGAAAAATGTTAAAATGGAAATATTATTTAATATGGGATAAAACTAACTAGTCAGAAGCTGTCACATATATTATTGAAATATTTAATGGAAATTGTCAAAACGCTATTTAAAACACATTTACATCGGATACGTACAGTAATGATTTTTCTTTGTGAAAATATGAAATAAAAGTTTTCTTTGAGTTTCAGAATTACACGAATCAAATCAACAGCATATGAACGAAACAAATACGTAATTGGAGATTTCTATTCAAGAAAATAACGTTTAATTTAAGAATTTGCTTTTCGGCAAAGCTACGATATTAAAAGTAAGAAAGCGGTATAATTTCAGGAGTAACGTGTGTGTGTGTGCGTGGGAAGTTTTTAAAACTTCATTAAAGTATACAAAAATGAATTAGGAGAAGATAAGTGAGGATGACGTTACCAGATGCGCAAGGGAGGGGTCGGAGTAGATAGTACTGTGCATTGCAAAGGAAAAGATATTTGGGGCATGGACCTGCCATCCCTCAGAGCCCCATCTCAGACAGTGTGTAAGCACTAAAATTTTGAGAGTGAATTTCTTCGTTTGCTTATAGACACTTAGTGTACCTGTAGCGTCACTCTGTTGAGTTTTAATTACTTGTATCCGATACCTAGGTTGTAAAAGTGTCGCTACATCTGATGTCTCTTACTAGATACTTTTGATCAGACCATTCAGCTCAAAGTGTGTTTTATAATAGAGGTTTTTAGTGGATGTCACGTGTTGTGGAATAAGTTGAACCCAATTAGGTTTAACCTCGTAGTCATTGAGTAAGAACTGATGTAAATAATGTAAAGATAGTTAAATTTCTATGGGGTTTTGAGTCCGTTTTACTTCGCCATACAGTAAATTAAATGAATTTAGATATGGTGAAAAAGAAAAGAAATATCTAACGGATATATATATATGTACAATAGTTAGCTTTCGTTGAGTCAGCACTTAATTTAGATCAGTTTGTTATGCTATGATTTCTTAAGCGTAACTATAATGTAACGTGAACTTTTTTCTAAATATACAATTAGGCGAACGTACACAGGGTGTTATACGATTCGTTCAGATTTCTAAGTACTTAATTTTATGCATGAGTAGTCTAGGCAAGCCACTTAACTGTTTTAAGTACTTTGGGTACACAGTACTGCTTTTACATTTATAAACTCTGTGCATTCAAATACAAAATACCACAACCATTCAAATACAAAATACGACAAACATTCAAATACAAAATAACACAAACATTCAAATACAAAATAACACAAACATTCAAATACAAAATACCACAACCATTCAAATACAAAATAACACAAACATTCAAATACAAAATAACACAACCATTCAAATACAAAATAATACAAACATTCAAATACAAAATACCACAACCATTCAAATACAAAATAACACAAACATTTAAATACAAAATAACACAACCATCCATATACAAAATACCACAAACTTCAAATACAAAATAACACAAACATTCAAATACAAAATAACACAACCATCCATATACAAAATACCACAAACTTCAAATACAAAATAACACAAACATTCAAATACAAAATAACACAACCATCCATATACAAAATACCACAA